GTTTTGTTGTGCTACGGTGTTGACGGCGTGATGTCGGAGGAAGGCGGGGAGCAGGAGGTTGTGAAGATTCTGGAGCTTCGAGTCCCCTCGATGCGATTTTTTCCCGCTCTTTTGCGAGCTGTTAATGCCGGATTCAATGCGTCGCTGTGGTCACGTAACCATACACTGACGACTGGATTGCGTGTGAAGAGGATTGTGAAGGATATGGAGGCCCATGGCGGTGTTGAGGCGATTAACGAAGCAATGGAGGAAGACGACGACATTCTTCTTGTGCAGGGACCCATCGGCGATGAACCCTTACAACACTCACTCCCTGCGCTTGAAGAACACAACCTGGTATCATTTGCTCCACTCACTGGATCTAGCATGGTGCGGAATTGGAATCCTCACTTCTACTTTGTCCGCACCGACCCCGCTGCTGAGCTGCTGGCCCTCCTCCGCTACGCCGTGAACGAACTTCGGGTGTTGCGGTTGGGATTCATGTACCTGCAGAACGTGTCGTTTGGGGATAGTGAGTACGAGCACGCCACAGAGCTGCTAGATGACATTGATTACGAGCTGTGCTGTGTTTTCACTCTGGAGAGCTCTCTGACTAGCTCTGCTGACGATGGGGTCTTCGATGCCACGTGGGAGGACTTTGCGGCCACACGCCCGCAGGCTGTGATTGTGTTCGGTGCGCCTGTAAAGGACACAGCGAAGTTCATTACGCGGATGCTGACGGACAAGCGCACCGCTGGCGCCTACCTCCTTGCACCATCCTTGATGCAGAGCATTATTCTTTCAAGATGGCGGAAGGCCGTGGCAAGCGGTGTTCCCTTTATTCCCGGCCAGGTTATCACGACAGGTACGAACCCACTTGCGAAAGACACGCAATACAAGGCGATCCAACGCTTCCAGAGTGTGATGCGTGACTACCTTAGCAATGAGAACACGGTGTACAATAGCACCGAGCACTTTCTGGAGGACGACAACGATGGTGAGACGATGGTTACTGGTTGGATCGTTGGTGAGGTGCTGTGGGAGGCTCTAAGCAGCCGTGTGTGGGTAAAGGACAGGGAGTCCTTCAGACGTTCGCTCTATAACCAACGCCGGTATTTGATCGATGATATTGTGATTGGCCACTACGGTGATAATTGCAGTGCTATTGCTGCTGCATACGGCGCTCTCTGCCGCTGCAATCAGGGTGGACAGACGATCCACATGAAGCGGTTCGTGGAGGGGTACCGTGCTGAGACGGCGGTGGAAGGACGCCTTACGATTCCTTCCTCAGTGTGCTACACAGACGGTGCCCGACTCCGTGCGCCACTGAATGAAGTTTCTTTCGAGATGTCTGACGATGCCTATGCTGTGAGGGCAACGCTTGGCATGAAGACGGGTTCAAATGCTGCGCTGGGTATCCAGCTTAATGTTACTGAGAGACACAGAGTTATGTTTGAGACGATAAATACCTCTACAGCTGGTGCAGAGACTGCACTGAGGAATGCTGAGGAGAGAAGGCGCATCCATGCCGTA